CATTGAAAGATGAGTACTTGGCTATTTTTTGGCAGGGGTAACGAAATATATCGGCTGTTCTCTAAGTGTTTCTTAATGCGTTGGCCATCGGAATATACTGATATAACTACATAACTCATAAACTTGATAGATATGTGACGAGTTTCACAGGCACAATCCTATTTTAAATACTATGGCTTTTGGCAGTTTTGCATCATATGTGCAGTAAAAGCCCCATTTTTCTACTTCCTCAACGTGTAAAACGCGAAAAAACTTCATTAATAAGAACAAAAATTTGTAATAAAAATTTGTAGTAAACAGTGTATTTTATTATAAAGGATTTTCGTTTTTCTACTGCTCCGTAGTTCGTGTGCTCCGTGCTCCGTGTGCTCCGTGCTCCGTGTGCTCCGTGTGCTCCGTGCTCCGTGTGCTCCGTGCTCCGTGTGCTCCGTGCTCCGTGTGCTCCGTACTCCGTGCTCCGTGTGCTCCGTGCTCCGTGTTTTACTAATAGCCGATTTTGATCGTTTATAGCTTTTGTACAATTGTGGAAATAGATACATACTATAACGTTTTACTTTTTAATATTTATGTTATCATTTTTATTTGTGGATTTATATTTTTATAAATTGAATATTTAAATATACAACGTATATTATTAAATCTGTCAGTCAGTCTCGTATGCGGATCTGCTAGTGTAGGTATGGATATTAAATATTCAATTTATAAAAATATAAATCCACAAATAAAATTGATAACATAAATATAAAAAAGTAAAACGTTATAGTATGTATCTATTTCCACAATTGTATAACCTGGCAATTCTCACAATTTATATGCTGGATATCTGTGCCCATATTAAAGCACTCATATTTATAAAATTGGCTTGTAATGTTTTGACCACGATGTTGACTTGTGACTTATTTTCTCTTTCTCCCCCCCGTCGTATAAAACAATAAATATTCAGGGGGGCGTGCCTTTTTTAATTCACAAGGAAAGTGCTCATCCACGGAGAAGGCACGTGTTTCTACGGAGAAGCTGCATGTTTCTGCGGAGAAGAGGTGCCCCGTTCGGGCCACCGCATCGTGTTTCACAGAAATGCTACGCGTTTCCGCGGAGAAGCTGCAGTGTTTCCACAGAAAAGCTGCGTGTTTCCACCACTGAGCTATAATATTACTGGAGGAGGTGCTCCTATCTCTCGTCAGTCAAAAAAGTGTCGCCAAAAACATGGCGGATTTTCATGTTTGCTGACGCCAATTGGTTCCTCCGGCTCATGGCAATTACCACTGACCAACCGCGATCCTACGCTTGAAATAAAATCCTTTACCCCCCTGGTTTTTGCACAAATTTTGATCATAATTTTCGGTCTTTTCGAGTTTCGACTGAAAATCTTGATAGTTTTGCAGTCGAGGAAAAAGTGTGCTAGTTTTAAGTTTTTAGTCTGCTTGTAGATGAAACAATTCACTCGAAAGGATTATTATATTTCTTGTTTTCAGGTAAGATTCACGAAAGTTTTATTTCTTTTACTTTTTTTAAATTCTAGCTTACCAAAGCTTGGGCTGCTTCGGGCAAATTTAACTTGCCATTTCGATGGAAAAGCATAAATACATTATGTCAAAAACTACCGTTATAAACAGCAAATGTGTAATATTGCTAATTTCAACAATATCACAGTAGTTTTGTATCCTCTTTTTTGTTGTTCTTTATATTCAAACTCATTCTCATACTGTAATTTTGTCTCATATCTTGGGTTCAAAATCATTTTCCCGACTTGTTTTGTTTTGTATACTTTGAAATAATGAAATCCGTGATTGGTTTTAACTTTAACTGTTAACTACCAGGTTTTTGTAGCAGTATTTATTTCGGATGCATGTGCACAACCTACCTTTTCAGTACCCTGCCAGTTGCCACTCTGGCACTTTCAAAAAATTCAGCATTTAAACCTTTTATTATAAGTGATTAATTAAGGGGCACTATGCCCTACTTTGTTATCTTAGTCCAATACCAGATAATTTTACTTGTTAAGGGGAAAGTGCTGGTGCACTCAATTGCTTAATAATTTTAAGTCATATTAAACTTCATTTTTTTATTTGTATCACCCCCCCCCCCCCCCCCCCCTC